AATCCAAACTCCCAGGTCCCTTTCTGCCTGGCTGCTCTCCAGCCACTCTGTCCCCAGCCTGTAGCTCTGCAGGGGGTTGTTGTGACCAAAGTGCAGGACCCGGTACTTGGCCTTGTTGAACCTCATCCCGTTGGAATCAGATCAACTCTCCAGCTTGTCCAGGTCCCTCTAAGAGTCCTCCTCCCTTCCAGCAGATCAACACTCCCCCCACAACTTGCTGTCATCTTCAAATTTGCTAATAGTACACTCTACCTCCTCATCCAGACCATCAATAAAGATATTAAACAGAACTGGGCCCAACACTGATCCCTGGGGGACACCACTAGTGACCAGCTGCCAACTGGATGCAGCCCCATTCACCACCACTCTCTGGGCCCGGACATCAGCCAGTTCTTAATCCAGCAGAAAGTGCCCCTGTCCAAGCTGTGGGCTGCCAGCTCTTCCAGGAGAATGCTGTGGAAGATGGTGTCAAAGTCTTTGCCGAAGTCCAGGTAGACACATCCACAGCCTTCCCCTCATCCACCAGGTGAGTCACCTGATCATAAAAAGAGATCAGGTTGCTCAGACAGGACCTGCCCTTCCTAAACCCATGTTGGCTGAGTCTAATCCAGATTAGATTATGATTTACAATCATAAATTTTATTAACAATGGCATTCTGGTTCTAGGCTACTAGAGAAAATTGCCTATTGCAGTAATGTATGTAATGGGAAAAAGTTTGAGGAGTGGCTTATGCTTGCAGTTAGCCTTTTTCATTTTATGACTGTAATATTTTTATGGTGCCTTATTCTTGGTCAGAATTTCAGGATATTGCTTAAATCAGTAAAAAATAATACAAGTTACCTGATTTGTTTCTTCATTTTAGTATTCTATTTGGAATAGAACAGGCAGAGGTTATTTTGTGTCTATATTTATAGATAGGTTTTTGACTGGTCAGCTTTGCTGAGCAGTTACACGCAGACTTGACAGGTGCACATCTTTCATTAAAATTCCACTGGGCATTGAAATTGGGATTTTCCAGACACAACAGCAAGCACTGTGGCATTCACAGCATAATGAAATTAAGTGACCTTTGTATTTGCATTCTTGACATGGAGTGCACCTGGGACTTAAATGATTGAGCAGGCACTGCTGAGGAACCACTTTTGCAGTTACAGAATTGAGTCCAGAATAGTGGTTGTAGGGACTGTGAAGTTTCTTCATAACCTCAGCAAAAACTACAAGATTATTTCTTTACCTTCCTTCAAATGATGCTGAAACTCCTGTTGCCCAGGTGAGTTTTGCACCAGATCTCTTCTATTTACTTCATAGAATCATAGAGTGGTTTGGGTTGGAAGGGACCTTAAAGATCATCTTGTTCCAACCCCCCTGCTATAGGCAGGACAACCTTTCACTAGACCAGGTTGCTCAAAGCTCTCTGCAATCTGGCTGTGAACTCTTCCAGAGATGGGGCATCCACAGCTTCTCTGGGCAACCTGTGCCAGTGTTTTACCACCTTCACAGTAAAGAATTTCTTCTTAATACACAAGCTGAACCTGCCCTCCTTCAGTTTAAAGGCATTATCCCTTCTCTTATCACTACATGTAAAAAGAATCTTTCCATCTTTCTTGTAGGCTCCCTTCAGGTACTGAAAGGACCCCTCTGGGTGCTGAATTGCTTCATTAAATAATTGAAGGATCTTATTTTTTTCATTCTGAAGCCTTTTGGAGCCTCTAACAGATTTTTTTTTTTGGAAAGTGCTTTGGATCAGATGCCACCAGGCACAGGTTTGACAAGTGTCCATGCCCTTCAGTGTGGGCATACTACATATTGGTAGTATGGCCAGAAACAAACATGAATAAATAAAACACCTGGCAAAATAATAACAGCAAAATAATCTGGTGATTGAATTTATGGGGATCATAAGAGTAGAATCTACGAAAAGGAGTGCTTTTGACAATTAACAATTAAATTACTTCTCTCTAAACTTTTTTGTCTCTAAAGGCTGGTCTAATCCTTGCTTTCTTCCAGAGGAAACTCTTCAGATTTGAGTATGTTCTGTGGTCTATTTCAATAGGTTTACAGTAGTTCATATGGAAAAAGCTTCTCTTTGAATAAGAGAAGATAGCGAAAGGTTGTAGAGCAAGACTTGAAAGCTGAAGTATGACAGAGTCTTAGGGAAATATTTCTTAAATCATGTTGCATCTATTAACATTAAAAACTCTACCATGGAAATTATTATTCTGTACCAACAAAATGTGTCTTACAATAATGCTTGAAGTCCTCATTTCTGCTAGAATCCCACTGGGACAAGCATAATACAAGTGCATGGAAGGGGGCACTCCTTGTCCTCACATATCTGATCAAACTTTCACCATGTGAGATGATACAAACATCCTGCACTACTTAGACACCTCTTTTAGCAGAGCTGCAGTTTCAAGACACAAACTTTCAAATGGATCGTTTTATGAACCCTATGTTTTCCCTTAGTCAGAATTTAGCATTTAATCATCTGTGGTTACCTGCCTATTCTCTAGATAACTGACTTAAGGTCACAGCTTTATAGGCTGTACTACTGCACCCAACAGACAAGGCTACGTTGTCTTCCTATGTACTTGCCCTTCAACTTGCTTGTATGGAAATGTGTTTTGATTGATGGGGCCCAATTTACCAAATAATCCAGACTGCACTGTCTAATTGTCTTTTGTCAGTATTTTAGTCTTCCATCAGTTTTCCTTAGATTTATGGTCTATGGCTTTGTGATTATTTGCTGAACATATAGAACAACCCCAGCTCAGAAATAGCCTCTTTAGGATGCCAAAGGAAACATTTTTATTTTGCAACCTTTTTTTATTAATAACTTCTCTTTTGGATCTCTTAATAACTTCTTTAATGTCTTCACTAGGGACTTAATTCACATTAAACAATAATTCCTATTTATGCAGTTGCGGGTGAATCATCCCACCAAAGACTCAATACCAAGAAGTATTCCTTATTTGGAAGTAATTTTTTCTACCTTTTATACTTGTCCACTATCAAATGGCATGGTGCAAAAGGAGTGAATTTGTAGAGGTTGCAACTCTGAGGACCTGTCACCTACACTAAAAGCATTTCAGTTGCTTAAAACTAGTTTTAATGCCCGCTGAAACCCCAGAATGGCTGGTACACGTGGGTACAGTAGGTGCACAGCAGAAACCAGTCCCAGGCATCCCCTAGTAAAATCAGTCTATATGGAATTCAGTTTGCACACAGCTGTGAGATGAAAGCAATAAAATGAGGCTGGCTGCTGATTTGCTTCAAAGTTTGAATCCTGACCTTATCAGAAATGCTAACATAGACACTCCTTTCTTTACAAAACTAGAAAAATCAGCTGAAAATATGTTTATTTGGCACCATAGTGTCTATAAAATCTTGCCAGCTACAAATCGTTTATTCTTCATAGTCTAAATCCATTTTCCATTTTCCTCATGTTTGATGTCAAGTTTATAACCAGCCAAGTCATCCTGTTTGGCACTTTTAAATAACTGCAAAACGCTGACACGTGTTGAGCCTTTTGTTATACTCTGAAAAATTGTGGGGATTATCAAAATTAAACATCAAAGACTAGAGATTCCCAAGCAGTCTCAGTTAGAACTTCTGTCTATAACGTATATTAGGTTGATAATTTGAAAATAGTTTAAATGTTGCAGATTACGTCTCATATGCTACTAACGTCCTGGAAATTTTTGTAAGCATTACAAATTTAATAACATCTTTTTTCTATTTACTTCTTTATTCCTCTAAAACAGATCAAATTTTTTTTCCCCCTTTGGAAAAGGGGAAAATTGAATTTTCTAATCCAATCAGATTTACCATTTTAATCTGATAAAAAACTGGGACTATTAGAAGTTTTTTTGCCTTTTTTAGTTCTTAATGGACTACAGTTCCTTCTCCCTTCTTTTTTTTAGACACTGCAGTATTAATTTGTCTGGATTTTCCACTGATGACTTCAGCTTGCCTTTATTTTGTTGATTCTGACTTTCTTTTATCATGTCTTTTTAATGTAACTTAATATATTCTATATACAAGCATTCTAATTTTTGTTTTTATTTCCTTTTCCTGAGATGTTTGTATTTTATTTACACTTTCTTCATTTTGGAAACTTTGACATGTTCAGCTCTCTTAGTGAACTTCCCTTAAAAAATCCTACTTTTCCATTTCTATTCTTTCCATTTCATTGAATTTTACTTATAATACTCTAACTTTTAAAGCTAATCATCTTTGATGATGAGGTTCATTAAATATTAGGATTGCTTCTATTTCCAAGAAAAAATAATAAAAAAATTTTTATGAGTTTATATTTTGTATTTCCTTTGTCTTCCAAACAGAAACTGGACTAAAACTCTTTAGCAGTTTGCAGAAGAGATATTTTAAAGATGATGCCTGATCTGGGCTGGATTAAAGCTGCTGGTTTAGGGCTAAAAGAGACTATTTAACTGGAAATCTTCAGTCCTGGTTCATTGTCTGTTTAGTTTACAGCTTTCAAAAACAAAGGAGCCAGATGGTGCGGAGTGGAGACACACTGCTTGCCTTTAACACCAGATTTTCTGCATGTAAATTTAGATGTATTATTATCTTCATAATCACTATAAGAGCTCTTTTGCAAGCTGTATTAAACACTCATGTTTACTGAATATGTATCCATGTCCTGAGGACAACTTTGGGGTCACATCACCCTTCTGCAGAACTTGGACTCTGAACTGGGTATACAGATAAAAACAAAACAGACAAAATCACCTTCATATTTTAGGATTAGGACCATATCCTTGGTTAACGTCTGCTGGTGTAAGTCTGTTAGTTTTGGGAGACCTGTGGCTGCCTGGGTATGCCATCCTAGAACTTTTACTTTGTTCATTAAATGCTTCCTTGCACAAATACTCAAGTTCATGAAATAATTCCTTGAGTATTTGTAAATGTAAACTCAATTCAGTCAGCTGTAATGCAGAGACACTTGGATTGCTTCTGACTTGCATCAATTTTTCAGATAGACCAGTTCTTGCCTCCCTGATATCCCCGGTGTAATTCACCTCATCAAAGAGAGGAATCAAGCCCAAACAAGGTGCTTCTGCTACGTCCACAATGAGAGGTAAACACAAGGGGAAATTTGTCCTGTGTTTTTGTATTCATTTTCTTTTTCCAGTATGTGTTCACTTTATGGGTTCATCACTACCTGGACAGCTCTTAGGTGTTTAGGAAGAAAACCCAAACAAAATCAAATAAAAAACCATCCACAAAACCTCAAACAGCGATAGCACAGACCACTGATTTTTGGCTAGTACAGATGCCTCTTTGGGCAAGACAGTTGCCCCAGAATAATTAACTTAATAAATTCCCCACATCACAAATTCTTGAGTCAAAAGTAATTTTGAAACAATCACTTAATATATCAAATCTTCAAAGTTAATTTACAGTCATAAATGTCTATCAAGCAGAAAGTTCCAAAATCATTATTTGGCAGATTCCAAGGCCAAGGATAGGTGCAATGAGGCCTAAAAAGCCTTTGGCTGGCAAAATGAGCAAGAAAGTAAACAAATATGCTGGTCTTGGCATTTGGAGTTATAGGCACATTTTAAATAGAATTGCCTCTAAACACAGCTGCAGAACTGAATCTCTGATATAATAAAGCTGTCTGGTTTATGGCAGACATACATCAGCACTGCTCTGATGGCTCAATCCCTTAGAATCACAGAATGACAATAACTTCTTTGTGTATTACAAATAAATCATTGCTATCACTCAACATGTTTAAAAAAATTGTAATTCATCTTGTGTAAGTTTTCCTCGAGAAATATAAAGCTGTTGGAGTTCGAGTGTGTAGAATTAACAGAGAAAAAGGTTGAAGATTTTATCTATTTCCTCCATCAGTGTTTTTATTTCACTCAAGGGACTTAACCACATGCATTTGGAAAATTAAAGTCAGTAAACTAAGGCTTTAATAATTTTCTCCTACATCCAGACTCATCAACAAACCAATGAACTGTATGTGTAGAAGGTTTTTAAATGGAGTAAAAAAAATTAAAAAGTGTAAGGTTTAGGCAAGTTCTTTTTATTGGTGTTCGAATCCAAACAACTTCATCCTCAAATAGAGTTGTAAACATGAAATTTTCAAGACAAGTGTTCATCTTGTTTCTAACTACATTTGTATATTTGCACATATAAAAAGGAGGAATTTTTGCCCCAATTTGGCCGTGAGATTTTGTTTATTTAAATTACTGTGTCCATAGTTGTTCTCTGAAACCATTAAGTGAAGTTGACAGAAGTGCTTCTACTTCAAAGTGCAAAACTGCACCTGGACCCACAATGTCCTGTTCATTCTCTATTGACATATATCTTCCCATGTTTAGAGATACGAAAAGAAGTGAAATAAGTGTTATATGTACACAAACATATACATATATAAGCATGTGCTTGTACATGCACATAGGCGGCATAAAGTTGCTCTTGTGTCAACTTGCTGACACATAAGAATGAGAGTGCATGTGCAATTTTTCAGTAGAAATTTAATTTCTTCTGCATATTAAAACAAATCTAGAGTTTTTAATTTAATCAGCTGGGTATTGTGTAGCTCCCTGTACGATACACAAGCAAAGTTTAAGCTGAATGAGATGATTGGAAGGACTTCCTTCCCTGATTGCAAAGCATTTGATGTCCAATGTAAATCAGATAATATTTTGCAAGGCCTTTATCTGAGCTTTTTTCTTGAAAACATACCTATGCCCATAAGATGTTATTTTTACATGATGAGGCTTTCTTAAACTGATATTAAAGTAACAAAAAAAATTAAAATAAAGAAAGTTCAGTAAGAATAATTTTTCTTAAAGTCCAAAGTTTGGACTAGATTATCTGTTACACATTACAAAATTGCTTTATGTTACAAATGTGTTTCTTTCACCAGTTTTAAGCCAAAATCATGTGGTTCTCAGCCTGGTATAGTTTAGAGTAGACTGGGAGGTCAGTATGAGTTTCTTCACAAGTTCTCAAGAGCAACCTGGAAAGAGTTTTGCTCAGCTTTCCACATGCTTGATGTCACATCCAAGCAGCACTCATAGCTGTGTAAGTGTGATTTGTTTCCAGATTATTTCACTGTACTTCCTGGAGAAGCTGGATGGAGATGAGAGAACCAGCTTGGTACTGTCAGCCTGTTCTAATTTTTATTGGACAAGTTTAGAAAACTGACTTAATCAGTTAAAAACTAGTTAAAACTAGAACTCACAAAAAGGATCGCTAGATTTCTGTTGTGATCCTAATTGCAAATTAGCTCCTGTTTCCCAAAAATGGACGAGAATCAAATTCTCAGGAGTTTCACTGAGTTGTGAATAAAGCCAGCAAAAAGTAAAGTCATCTTCCATTAAAGCTGCAGCATCTTAGTCACCCTTGATTACTGAGAAGGTTTATTTTTTTTAGTTAGGTTCATGGAGACAGTGAGGCCGGTCTTACATCATCCTGATCCCAGAAAAACCTGAAGCCTCAAGCAAGCTGCACCTACTGGTGTGAGCTGAATGCCTCAGTCAAGACAAGCAGCATCACAGCTGCAGCTTGGTGAGTCACTGTGCAAAGCAGAAGTCTTACACTAACACTTACGTAAATGAAACACAGCTCACTTCGTCAAGTAAAGATTTTAAAGACATTTTATGCAGTTATGGGTCTCTTTTGGTGCGTAAAGTCATGAAAAAGCATGAGCTGATTCTTTGTTTGCTGATCAGCTGATTCAGCACTATTGCTGCTCAATTGAATTATGTTACACGTGTCTTTTATACACTCAATTCTAGAAAGAGAAGCCTGAGCCTGCAAGTACCAAAGATACTGATAAGTAGATGGACATTTTTATTTGTTACCATATATGTCCCACTTGCCATAGCTATGTCTCTTCCTCTTTTTTTCCCCACCATGTTTCTTTTGCTACGTTATGACTCCAATCTCTATTGCCAGGGATGGTTATCTATAACAATCTTCTCCATGAAAACAATAACATAAAAGCTGTGAGCTGAAAGACAAACAATGCCTTCTCTGAATATTTTGAAGGAGCATGATTGTACAGAGTGGCTTTTGCCAGAGGAAAGGAGGTTTCTCAGAGGCTCATCCAACCTGATCTTGAATAATTCCAGAGATGGGTCATTCACAGCTTCTCTGAGAAATCTGTTCCAGGGCCTCACCTCTGTGCAGGACAGTGTCTCATTCTGGCAGGATTCTGTCTCATTCCATCTGATGTCTGTCACAAAATGTCTACAACAAAAAAGATAAATGCTTTTCTCAATGCACTAACAGAAATATCAATGAAGTTTGTTATTGTGCATTGTTCAGAAATATCTGAGAGGAACAATTTAGTTTTGGTGGATTTTACCTAATAAAGTGTAGTACCAGAGAAGCATATGATCAGTACATTAGTGATCATTGTGCAAGGAAAAATTGACTAAACAGACATTCTTTTGATATGCTTTTCACTCAAAGACTTCCAACAAGACATAAATATATGAAAATTAAAGGGCTCCACAGGCTGACACTTACACATACACACAAACTAATTTCATTTTTTTTAAAATTATAAAAAAAAAATCGTGTTTGAAAGAACCAATTTTCCCCTTAAATCTATCTATATATAATTAACCTCAATGGCCTTCAGTAGTTCATATCTGTATGCATTTTTTTCCCAATTGTCTTTGCCTCAGGACATGGCTCAGTATAACTGAGACTCGATCTTCTGAAATCAGGGCTGAGATCTGGCACATTACATAGAATAATCTTTGATGGTTGATTAGCATCTGTAAAATAATAGCAGTGAAATGGAATTGTCACTTTCCAGACTGAGGTCTTTTGTATGGATCTCATGCTTTTGGAAAAGTGGCTGTACTGCCATCTACTGTCCTCCTAATCGGCAAAGTATATCCCCAGAAGTTTGACTATAGTGCTAGGAACTGGTTATCAATATAGGAAATATATTGTTTAAGCTCACAGAGGGCTCTATTCTGGTGTAGAATAAAAATAGTAGGGATTAGGGAAGCACAAAGGACAGGTTTTTTTCTCTGTAACAAGTGTATTGATATGAAAATCACAACAAGATCCTGAAACTGATATTCACACTGAACACAATTATTTATGTGATCCTATGAGTATTTGTGTTTCTGAACTTCTTCCCTTTTTCCTCAAGTTATATGCGATGTGCTGATTTTGGCTGGAATAATCTTCTTCTTATTGTCTAGTTTATTACTTTTTGTAATTTGTGCTGAAAACAGTGTTGTTAGCACAGAGATGTTTTCATCATCAATGAGCAGCAATTACACAGAGTTAAGGCCTTTTCTGCTCCACATCCTACCAACAAGGAGGCTGTGGGTGCACAAAGACTTGGGAGGGGACACAGCTGGGACAGCTGATCCCAACTGACCCAAGAGATATCCCAGACCATATGACATCATGCTCAGCATGTATAGCTGGGGGAAGAAGAAGAAGGAAGGATGGAATGTTTAGACTGATGGCGTTTGCCTTCCCATGTTACCATTACAGGTGATGGAGCCCTGCTTTCCTGGGGATGGCTGAACACCATGGGAAGTGGTGAATTAACTCCTCATTTTGCTTTGTTTGTGTGCGTAGCTTCAGCTTTCCCTATCAAACTGTCTTTATCTCAACACATGAGTTTTCTCACTTTTACCCTTCTGATTCTCTCCCCCATTCCACCATGGGGAACTGAGCAAGCAGCTGCAGGGGGCTGTGTTGCTGCTTGCGGTTAAAGAACATCAAATAGAAAATAAAAAAAAAAACAAAACTCCACAAAGTAGTTTTGGTATTATGAAGAAATCTAGGTGGAAGAAAGAGTCACCAAGATAGTTTGAAGAAAGACCTGAAAGAACAAAGATAGAGAGTAAGGCCAATGCAATGTGCTCACTTTTCCATTACTAGATGCCAGTATTGCAGTTTAGCTGTGGGTCTCACTATTCTGCAGTCTTGGGTGAGGCTTGAAATCCCACCTGACTTTGGAATGTATAGGAAGAGACCTCAGGCTAGGCAGTGTTATCATAGAGCAAATGAAGTATACCATGTGGCATAGCCTATCTGCAACTAGCTGGAGATTTGGACTGACAGGAGTAGCACAAGCTTAAGTTCTCTCCTTTGGTAATTCTTGAAGATACTATGTCATCACTGCCAGAGTGACAATGTAGATGAGAGATGACTGTGCCCATAGAGAGAACCTGTATTTACAGTTGTCCAAAATACTCTCTATCTTGTTTATTAATGATATGTTTTTTGAGGTTTCTATTAGCACATATTTATTGGATTTTAATGGTTTTGCCAAGTTTATGAGTGCCTTGGCAGGGGGACTTGATAAATTCTTTCCTTACTATTGCTGACTTAGTCTAACTTAGTAAGATGAATTTAATCATGATGGTGACATCTGGCAGTTTTTTAAAATAAAGCTCATTAGAAGTCACTTCTTTTTAAAATCTCACTGTTCTTTAAGTATGAGCAATTACTCCTCTTTAAATCTTTTTAGCATACTCATAACCAAGATTTGCAATAACATCATTCAAATAATTTGTCATAAAATCAGGTTACACGCACCTGAACACATACAGATTATGTGTGCATCTTGATCCATTAAAATTTTGTTTGAGGAGTTAAGGTACTTTAAGGTACTTTATTATTGTCTATTTATGCTGCAAATATTATTTATTATTTCTTGCATTCTGTTTTCAAGATTTTAAAGGTCAATGTTATATATTATTTGGATAGGTTAATATTTCCAACATCTTTGGAACATCTAGTTCCATATTAAAACAAGACATTCTCAATTCTGTCATAAATTACAAATAATGGTTGTATTCCATGAAAAAAAAAAAAAGCAACTGTACAGCTGATGACATTTATGTGCCATAAACTATGAAATAATGTGTTATAAAAGCAAATTAATACGATACATTTATCAGAACTGGGCAGATGCAAAGTAAGGATTATGTCACTGTTACTTCCATTTCCTTTTATAAATTAAATACTTTGGATTTTTAACATTCTGAAATCAAACATGAGGTTTGCCTATCTCTGGCAATCAGCAGAACTTCTACCTTCCCAGAATTTGGTATGCAATCATCATCAACACTTTCTGAATATCCTTATGAGTTCTTGACCATGCTGTCTCTTCCAGCATGAAAGTTTGTACAATACTGTAGCCAAGCTTCTTTCTTCAAACATACAATCATGCAATCAGTATTAAAAAAATGGGTAGTGGAAGTGCTGCTTATGTCCAATTCCACACTTCCTAATATTGATAATTCTTTCACAGGGCCTACCCAAAACCAGCTACAAATTCATATAATTAAAGACTATGTTCCAGGTTTAGAACAAGCTATCTGAAGATCAGACCATCTGTCTTGTTACCAGTGCATTAAGATAAGAAGTCTGTTTGGACAGATTTGGACTTCTTTGTGGCTTTTCATGTGAGAACAGCACAGTATGGTTTAGTTTGTCATGAAAGAAAGAATCATAGAAAAGCAGAGTGATTGATAGAATCATTGAATCACACAAACATTCAAGTTGGGATCTCCAGAGGTCTCTAGATCAATACCTTGTTTAAAGCAGGGTCAACACTAAATTCAACATGTTACTCAGGGCTGCGCTCAGTCATTTCCTGTAAAGCTCCAAGGATGGAGCCAGCACAGCCTCCCTGGGCAGCCTGCTCCACTGCCTAACTGCCCTCATGGGGAAAAAGTTATTCTTCATTTACAGCCAGAACCTGTCTTGGCTCAATTTATGTCTATTGTTTCTATTCTTCCACCACAGACCATATATAAAAATGTGCATTTATAGATATACGTATGTGTGTGTGTGTGATGTGTATGTCTATATATATTCACACATCTACTTTTAATTTATAACCACAGTCTCCTATTTTCCTGCTATGTCCCTTCATAAAAAGCCTGGCTTAACCTTCTTGGTAACCCCCTCTCAGCCTCAATTCACACTTCATGGAACCATTCCCCTGACCGGGCTCTAAACTTGCTCAACTTCATCAACATCCTGATTGCCCTGGGGAGTTCAAAACTGGAGGTACTATTCCAGATGCGGTCTAGCAAGCACCAGGCAAAGGGAAGCAATTGCTACCCTCAGTCTGCTGGCAATGCTTCTGTTATTGCTGCCAAGGATGCTGTGGCCTTCATCAGTGCCAGCTGTCCCTCAGGACACCCAGGATCTGTTCAGCATAGTTACACTCTAACTGCACAGTCTCCAGCCTGTAACAATACAATTCCATTTGCTGAATTTTATGAAGTCCCTGACAACCAATTCTTTTAGCTTGTTTAGGTTTGTCCAAGTGGTTGCCACGTCCTCAATCATATTGTCTACATCCTATGCCTTCGTGACATCTGCAAACTTAATGAGGGTGCATGAGAAACTCCATCTCCAGAACTGCCAGTGTTAGGGTCTGACTCTTCTCCTTTTCAGCCTTTAAGGCAGACACTATAAAAAAAAATGACCAGAAGAAAATGACAATTAGAAGTTAATGGCATACAAATCCCTAGTAAACATTCCCTGGAAATGATGTCATGGATTCT